ACACACATACATACCCCACACACATACATACCCCACACACATACATACCCCACACACATACATACCCCACACACACATACATACCCCACACACATACATACCCCACACACATACATACACCCTCACACATACATACCCCCACACACACACATACATACCCCCACACACATACATACCATCCACACACAGACATGCATACATCTTACATACATACACATACATACCCCCCCCCCACACACACACACACATACCCCACACACATACATACCTTCACACACATACATACCCCCTCACACACACATACATACCCCCTCACACATACATACCTCCACACACACACATACATACATACCCCCTCACACACACATACATACCCCCACACACATACATACCCCCACACGCATACATACCCCCACACACATACATACCCCACACACATACATACCCCACACACATACATACACATACATACCCCCACACACACATACCCCACACACATACATACCCCACACACACACATACCCCACACACATACATACCCCCTCACACATACATACCCCCACACACACACACATACATGCCCTCACACAAATACATACCCCCACACACATACATACCCCCACACACATACATAGGTACACTGTATTATAGGGTTACCACTAAGTAAATTTTCTGCATGGTTTCTGAGACCTAGCCACCTCGTGTCACGTCAGATCGCCCTTTGCCACCAGTGATGCCTGACACACGTGACATGACATAACATGATGTGATGTGACATAACGTGATGTGACATAAATGATGTGATGTGCTCATTAGTCTTGTGTGCGTGCGATGGTCCGTGTTCACTTGGATGCGTTGTAACATTGCAGCTGTCGTTGGAGCCTGATTCTCCGCATGTGTTTCTCAGCGCGGGAGAGGACGGGGTCATATTTGAGATTGATGTCAGACAGAATGAGAAGCCAAACAGGTGAGGGCTTCCTACATCCCCCCGCATCACATGTCTTCTCTCAGATTGTAATCGTTGTCATCGTCATCATCACCATCATCGTTGTCATCGGAATAGCAGAGATTAAGTGACAAAAAATCTGATCATTCATTACTGTCAACTTCTTCATTGTCGGTTTTTATTTTTGTTCATAAATGGTAAATTGGAAATGACAGGATGTTTTGCCATCTGCGTGTATATGTATAATGCATGGACATTTAGTTTTATGGCGTTTAATATTTTAAAATTACAGATAAGAGATTGTGCATCTGTGTAACCAAAAGTATACAAGTAACAAGATCTACCCATGATATAACCTGACTTTTTATTGCTTAACCTATAGGTCACGAAAACTGTAATTGAAATAGAGGTAGAATCGAACTGAGATTTGAGATTGTTTTAAAGAATCGGATTAAAATTTAGTAAACAACATTAACACACCAGCCCAACCCTACCATTTCTTACGCACAGTAAACAGTGTAAACAGACCAGCACAACTCGACTATGATACACAAACAGTAAACACTGTTAACAGACCAGCACAACTCTACCAGTATCTTACACACAGTAAACACTATAAGCACACCAGCGCCAGTAACAACTGCTGATTTCTCTGTTTCAGACTGCTGACGTGTAAGGAAAACAACAAGAAAGTTGCACTGTACACGATACATAGCAATCCAGGCAAGCCGTATGAGTTTGCCACCGGTGGCAGGGATCAGTATGCCAGGTGTGCATCCTTCTCACCTGTAATTAGTGACTGATGGAGCCCTTCTACATAAAGTCGAGTGAGATTCATGCATGTCTGCCTCAGGATTTAGGGAATTTTTTATTTCTGTGTCACACATGTAATTATAATGCAGTACATGTTGTTAGAAAATAGATATTAACATAATTATGTTGATTTACGTTTTGCTAATTAAGCTATTTCATCAGCTTGCAATCATGGCTGTAGATACAGTTAGACAGTTCCTTGTATAGTAACAGACATGTTTGTGTGTTCGAGTTACATATGTGTAATGAGTTAAACTACGTTGGTTGGTGAAGGGAGCAAGACCTGGTTAAATACTGCATTTAATTATATAGCATTAGGTTCACGTAACCAAGGTCAATCGCCACCTAATTTACACTAGTTCTTGAAGGATGCAGAGTGTGTGAGTTCTACCAGCCAGTACATCGTAATATAACCCAGTCAAAAATATCTTGACCTGTTGTTAGGTAGCAATGTTTGTTCAGCGTTGTTTACACGATCGTGCGTCGTGACGACGGAACGCGATGTTTTTGCAGGATCTACGACAAGAGGAAAATAACGAGTGATAGCAGCGTGCTAAACAAGTACTGTCCCCACCATCTGCTGGGAGCCGAAACGAGAGCCAACATAACGTGTCTAGTCTATAACTATAATGGATCGGGTAAGCACTGTCTCACGGCGCCTGTGTCGTAGGGTAAACATGGCGTGCTATTAATAACTTTCTCATCTATGTTAGTGACGGTGTCCATAGACACGTGGCTAACAATTACATAAGTGCTTTTGTGAGGTACCTATAGAGGTATGGGTAGTAGTTACCCAGAATGCATGAGCATAACGGTAACCTGAGTTGCCCGAGGTATCTGTTGAACTCATAGCTGGATGGATGGCTATTATAAGGTGTTCTGTGGAAAAATTTAGTCGTGTTAAGATTTCAGATCTTGAATTGAGTTTTGGAATTAGTGTTGCAGTTGAAGGTGCAATGCAATGCAATGTGATGGTTGTTGCTATTAGTGATTGATACCACATATGTTTACTTGCAAACGGTCTCCATTGAAAATTAAAAGTGCACGAAATGCAAAGAAATATTGATGAAATGTCTCACTATGTCTTACGCTCATAGGGTCTATGTCCCCTAGGGTACTATCGGAGGGTACCCACTACCCTGGGTACGGTTCGATATATATCGGAACGTACCCTGGTAACTCGCTCATAGGGTCTATGTCCCCCAGGGTACTGCCGGAACGTACCCTGGGTACGGTCCGGTATACCGGAACATACCCTGGTAACTATTTGATATGGTTAGGGTTAGGGAGTAGGCGTAGGCGACTCCCTAGACTCGTTAGTGGAGTAGGCGAGGTACGGTCCGGCATATTAGATAGTGGCAGGGTACGTTCCGATATATCGAACCGTACCCAGGGTACCCTCTGATAGTACCCTGAGGGACATATAGACCCTCTCAGCATGTCTTACACATTTACATCTATGATATTTACAGTAGGCCTAATAACCCGCATTACGACAACCCGAATTATGTATGAATTCACACATGTAATTTGTAGGTTATGACGATTTTACTCCCTAGGAATTTCTGAAGGCATATTGTTTAAGGATGGTTAAGGGAGGGCCTGGGAGGGGAGGGGTATACCAATTTGAGTTAATTACATGTGTTGTAAGTGGCCCCAGTACTCAGGTCAACTTGATTACTTTGCAGACAAATGCATGAAGCTAGAAAAAGAGCATGCCTGTGTTGAGATTGTCAAATGTGATCATGTGGAGCGTGACGTCCACGCGAATTTGCGCATTATGAAAATTTTTACTGTGAAACATTATGTACATGGCATGGGGTATTATTGTATTACTAATTGTGTGCAATAGTGAGCTGGTATCACTACATATACTACCCTAGGAGAACAACGCTGAGCACTGACAGAACGTCCTTGGTTAAAAATTTTCCCACAATTAATCATTTTCACATGTAGTGGTTCTAGTCAACAGAGCAGTCAGTAGTTGCGTAGATATATTTCCAGATTACGTGTACTTACGCTGACACTTGTGTGTGATTTTGTTACAGAATTGCTGGTGAGCTACAATGATGAAGATATCTATACGTTTGATACGAGTCATTCAACAGATGCAGAGCACCAGCATAGATACCAGGGACACAGAAACAGCGCTACAGGTATGTGCGTAATTCACCCATCTGCCTTAGCTAGATAACAGCAGGGTTTCTGCCAGGATGGTAAAAGGGTAAAATTCCATACCTAAAAAATATTTCTAGGGTATGGATCCATACCCAAAAATATTTGCATAATTTCACATTAATTCAACAAGAAAGTCACTGGTTCAAACATGATAGTCACTTGTTTAAAGCACTAGTTGGTATCCAAATAAGGAGGCGGTTTAATGTGATTTCCTAAGGCGGTCGCAACATGAATCCATATAATTTGACTTCAAATTTATTCTCAATTAATCATTGAACACCCATCATTTTGGTTCATACCCAAAAAAATTTCTAGTGGAAACCCTGAACAGCACCTTCTTTATTATGTGTTCATTATTGCAGTGAATAGAGTGCACTACTATCAAGAGCGTATTAAGAAGGAGAGCGTACAACGGTGAAATGCTGAAACCATGTTGCAGTATTAGTCAAATTAATAAACTTTCCCCGTTTTATTTTGACGATTCTTTGCAGTATTATTGATCAGCTGTCCTACCTTAATTTGTTAATATAAAACAAACCGCATGTCCCTATGATGCCTCTACGCTGAGATAATGAGCGGTGAAAATCTGGTATTTTCGTCGAAAAACAACTCGAGATCAGTGTTTACTGCAACTGTCTCTCGTTTTGTGGACTGTATGTTGCTTCCGGTTTGAGGTTTTTCGAAGCTATCGCCAGAACGAGAGACAGTTGCAGTAAACACTGATCTCGAGTCGGTTTTCGGCGAAAATACCAGATTTTCACCGCTCATTATCTCAGCGTCGTAGGGACAAGCGGTTTGTTTTATATTGGCAAGGTAGGATGATCAATAATACCACAAAGAATCGTCAAAATAAAACGGGCAAAGTTGATTAATTCGACTAATACTGCAACATGGTTTCAGCATTTCACCGTTGTACGCTCTCCTTCTTTATACGCTCTTGCTACTATGGTTCTTTTAGTGTTGCTTATTAAGTTATTGTTTGTACATTGCATATTTGCAATATTGCAATATTGTTTATTTATTGTTTATTGCATGGAAGGGAGTGATCTACTATAAACCTTACAGTATTGTTCATCATGTGTTCATTATTGCAGTGAAGGGATTGATTTACAATGGTCCGTTTAGTGTTGCTCATCGTGTGTTGAGTATTGCATTGAATGGACTGAGCAGTTTACCATGTGTTCATTATTACAGTGAAGGGTGTGAAATACTGTAGTCCCTACAATGTTGTTCATATTGCATGTTCATTATTACAGTGAAGGGCGTGAACTACTACGGTCCTTGCAGTGAGTTCATTGTTAGCGGCAGTGACTGCGGACATGTGTTCCTCTGGGATCACGATACGGAGAGGATAGTGAGCTTTCTTCGTGCGGACGAGGGAGGTGTGGTAAGCCATGCATGTTATTACAGAGCGTTCTCTTCTTACGCATCGTCATCGTAAGTGGAGGGTGCTGGTCTTATCGCATCGTTTGTTTTGTGATGTTCGTATAGCAGTCCGGCTCACAACTGCATGCATGTATATTTAGATGATATTTTGTTCGAAACATATGTAAACTATATTGACAGAATGAATGTCAACTGAGTTAACAACCAACAAAGAAGCTAACTGCACCAACCGGAGACGGGTAGAGCAACTAAACATGCGGTGGATTAACAGTGTACACACGTACCATCATTATAGTAATTGCTGTTTGTGTCGTAGTTTGGCCGACGGTAATGTGCGAAAACAAACACGTGTTGCGTAATTACAAATTGATTGAAACAGTTTCGAATGCATATCAGAAGCTTAGTAAATGATAAGTCTAACTTCTCTGGTTCATGAAGCTTTTCGGGTGTGCACCCATGAAAAACCACGTACAAACTGGTCTAGCTCGACTGGCCTATCAACTATATCCAGGGGGCGGGGGGCCGTAGTTGTGTTATGTCACTCAGGTGAGTCAATTCTACACTCTTCTAGGTGAACTGCCTGGAGCCACACCCGCTCTACCCGGTGCTTGCGACGAGTGGCCTCGACAACGACATAAAGGTCTGGGTGCCGTCACTAGAAGAAGCCAACCCAATGTCGGAGCTTAAGTTGGTGGGTGGCGTCGCTTCAAATAGTTATTCATGTATATATGCGCATCTCAAACTCCCATGCGTGCACACGATAGACTGGTACTTGTATGATGGTATTATAGTTTGAACATCACTATTTCTATTAGACTATTTCGCTATTGTCTCATAAGAGCACGCACGACGACAGATTTCGGTCGTCATTCCATGTTGCTATTCACAAAAGATAACACTATTCTCTTTTGAATATAAAGTAGTTGCTTTCTTATCATATAATTTTATTTCACGATAATTTCAAAATATTAACTTGGAGCGACAGTTTCGATGGCATTTTTTCTAAATTCATCATGCTTGTTGAATATTGTCATTCTATTGAATTTCAATATTCCTATTGCATGTCATGTTGTCATTTCATGCAATTTCATGTTATGCCATTTCGTGTCGTGTATGTGAGAACGCATGTATGTGTGTATGTCATGCACATAATTATATGTTTTGTACGTTGGCAGACAGTCGAACGGAATCTGAAGCGACGTAAGCGCGACCATCGCCTAGAGGGCAGCAGTGACTTCATCGATGGACAGATGCTCTGGTTTCTGATGCGACAGCTGAGGAGGCGGGCGAGGCGCCAGGTATGGCTTCATCTCTTCTTACTCACACGTGGCGATGTACATACCATAGAACCCTGCACCGGCAATATGTTAAACAAAACAACGTCACATCTGCGGCAATGAACATTAAGGTATGCAGTGGAAACATAAAATAGCCACCGAGGACATGAAAAAGACTCTTGCAGTGGCCACCCTCAGTATCAGCAACATGGTTGGATTAGAGTACCTGTGACCAAGGGCTGAAGTTAGCAGTGTGTCGCAAAGCTACCCTGCTTAATAAGGGAAGAAGAAGAAGAAGAAGAAGAAGAAGAAGAAGAAGAAGAAGAAGAAGAAAAGGAAGAGGAAGGAGGAGACGGAGGAGCATGAGAACGAGAAGGGCACAATGTTATGGACCAGATGCAAACAGAATGCTGGAGATTTATTGCCAAAATGCACCACATTGCAATAAACGATGTATAGTGTATTACACTACCCGTGTTTACTGCAGAAAAGTATGATGGCATGAAGGGAAAATAGTAAGGGCTATAATTATATCAGTGAAATACAATGCCGATTTAGCACCAAAATCTGTATACAGTCAAACCTCGGTTATCCGAACATCAATTATCTGAATTTTGGATTATCCGAACAAGATCTCAAGGTCCCGTGAATATTTAATAAGCCACTAGACCACCTGTGACCCATTGCCGTTGGGTCACCTACTATTCAGAGGTTATGAAGAATTCAAGCTAATTAAATTTCAATATTGCACCGAAATGAAGGTTTATTTTGAGATAATTTAATTATATATTTCAATCCATTCGTGTTATTTATAATTCAAGAAAATACATTTGATAGTTCACTTTTCCTTTGTTTAGCGCTGTAGAAAGATAAATAGGCGGTGCGCGTTTGACGTAACGTTGCCTAGAAACAGTCGGACTGGCAACAGTCGGTACAGTTGCTGACATAATTTGCCTTCCTTATGGCTTCCTTTATTTACGATCAGATTTGTTATTCGAACAATCAGTTATCCGAACAAAATACTCTCCCGTCTCATTCGGATAATCGAGGTCTAACTATAGTGGGTTGCCATGTCTTTGTGCGTCTGAGTAAACTGAACATATGATTCATCCTTTGTTATCTTCTTGTTGCTTATTATTACTGCAGGCTGGTGTGGAATTATGAGGGAGATACAGAAGCCTTCATGCAGTAAGGAGGAGAGGGAAGAAGAAAACGCGGATTTGACAGATGATGTGTGTGCTTTACTTCATTCTTGTTGTTACTGCAGGCTGGGGTGGAGGAGGAAAGAGAAGTACAGGAGTCGTCAAGCAGTGACACCGTTGACAGCGATGACAGTGAGGAGTCAGACATGCCAGCTGCTGTGCAGTGCGCTCCTTCGTAAGCGCCTCCTAGTGTTTGCACACCTACTGCAGTGCAATGCGCTCCGTCATAAAAATCCGCTATCGTTCACGCTCCTTTATTAGCCCCCCTATTCTCTATTCTACTTTGCAAGTGCTCTCTAGGCAGCCTCACACTTCCTCGTAAGTGCCACCTATCGTCCACGGTCTCTCGTAAGCACTCCATATTCTCCACCCTTCTTTGCAAGTGTACCATAGCCGTCACATTTTCTTGTAAGTGCCACCTATTCTCCACGGTCTCTCGTAAGCGCTCCCTATTCTCCACGCTTTCTCCTAAGTTCCCTCTGTCCTCTACACGCCGTCCTAAATTTCCCCTGTTCTCTACAGACCCTCAGAAGTTCTCCCTGTCCTATACGCACCGTATTAAGCGCCGCCTATCTCCCGATACACGGCCAATCTGTGAAGGGTCAAGCCTCCTGCAGACAAGCAACAACAGAATGAATAGACTTGCCCGTCTGCCACGTCCGATTTGTAAATTACACCCGCGCTTATTCGACAGCAGCAAATCAGCTATTTTGTAAAAAAGAACCCAACCTACTGTACATAGATGTGGATGTTCTGCAGGGTAAATAAAAAGGCTGTGTGTATAAGGCTCGGGTGCCAGGCTTGTAGTTTGTGGTAGAAGTGCGCGTTTTCACATCACGATGCGCATACTCGCGCGTTTAGGAGCCCGTGAGAATTGGCATGACTTCGCCTGAGGACCGGCTGCCAGCTCTTGTCTGATCGAACTCGGATGCAGCTGCGACGCCGCAAATTCCACTATGAAATCGGAGAGTTGTGTCCTATTATGTTTGACTATTATTGAAGACGCTTCGGACGTTCAGTCTCGTGCGGTTGACCTGCAGCATCATCAGTGACCTACATGGTCAGTGACCTTCATCATAGTCAATGACCTTCAACATAGTCAGTGACGTTCAACGTAGTCAGTGACCTTCAACATGGTCAGTGACCTTCAACGTAGTCAGTGGACGTCAACGTAGTCAGTGACCTTTAACATGGTCAGTGACCTTCAACGTAGTCAGTGGCCTTCAACGTAGTCAGTGACCTTTAACATGGTCAGTGACCGTCAACGTAGTCAGTGGACTTCAACGTAGTCAGTGGCCTTCAACATGGTGAACTTCAGTGGATGATTCCTTCCAGGCTCAATTTTTACGCGAATTAAATGGATTAATTAATTCGGCGGATCTCATCTCGCATGCCACGTGTTACGATTGTGTATCCACGCGTGCTGTACGCTGCACAGTTACACAGTATAGAAGAGTCGTGTAACGTCGGTGTGCAGGCTCAAAACTTACCACAGTGGTTGTAACTACAGTAATCGTTGCAACGGTGATCGTTGCCACAGTGAACGTTGCCATGGTGATAGTTGCCATGTTATTTGGTGCCACAGTGACCATTGCCATGGTTATTATTATGATGGCGATTATTACTATGGTGATCCTTGCCACGTAATTTTTGCGTTTTCAGTAGCATAGGATGGTTTCAGTTTATCATTGAAGCTGTGGCTTGAAGGGCATCGCATGAGGTGGCTTGCAACTCGGCCACTGTTATGTCAACAATTATCACTAAGGCATGGTGGAAATTGGACGTTGAATATTCTACATTTATGACTAACCCTACCTAGCATGTGTAATATATACGTTTCTGTTGCCGTGACTAACGTTCTGATTGGTGGAAACGTTTTACACCTGTAGCAAGATAAATTATAAGGCAGAGCCATGTATATATATATATATATATATATATATATATATATACAACATTTATCGTATTGTTTCAAATACTACTATACTTGTTATGCGGTGTATTTCACAGGGAATGTTAACGGTTTGAACTTATTACATCGTACATATTAAAACTTTATTGCGAGCGCTTCGTTCTCTCATCCCTTATTACTTGCTGTGTCCGTGGCGCGACAAACCATAGATATAATAAAAACACATGTGTTTGTATATATCTATGGACAAATCAACCGACGGACATTAGTACTAGTACGAGACAATGGTCAAAACTCCAGTCAGCAGTGTGAGCGGTGTAGCGTGGGTAGTGGGAGCTGGGCAACGCGCCGATGTAATAGCAGGGTGCGAAATTAACGGGAGTCCGGAGTCAAATACTCCCTGATTTACTGTCGGACTTCCTGATTTGACATCTGCAGGAGTCCGTGGGACTCCCTGAAAATTCTGTTATACTAACAAGTTCGTTCCAGAGCACGGCCTCACGGAATTACCGTATTTTTTTCATCAAATGTCCAAAGAAAATTTGGCAGACGTGCATCGCATCTTCAAATACGCACATGCGTTATTATTGTTGTGCTTTAGTTTTGAACATCAGACTACGGTCTCCCCTATTTTGCTACGGACTCCCTCTTTTTGAGGGCCGGACTCCCTTGTTCAAAAGTTAATTTCTAACCCTGTAATAGTGTCAGGAGTGTCATAATATAGACTATGAGACTTCTATGTTATGACACTCCTGATAGTGTGAGAACCACAGCGATACTGTAATTATATCAATAATAGACGGACGAATGCGTTTGTGAGCTGCCTATGGCGGGAACGCGAATGCGGTTTATGAAAGTTTTGTCGCGTGATCCGTTGTTCTTTTTAGTCACTTCGGAATAACATGTTTGCTGCTATCTTACAGCGCGAATGATTGACGGATAGTTGTTTTAATAAAAAATGTATGTCGAAATCGGTATAGCGACTGAACTGCCACGCCTGACTTCTATAAGGGCTGAGTGGAGTCGCGTACTTTGTATAGAATATAGGTGTAAATACCCGCTGTGCCACACACACACGAACATCTAGCCGTGTGTGGTGTCACAGGGATATAAAATGCTCAGCAGCTATCGGATACCATTCATCTCACGTAGTGAACATCATCGTCTCGCAATCAAGAGCATTTGCAGTGAATAACCACCGTGTGACCACGTTTACATTGATACATGCCGTCAGCAGTAAAATAATACGTAGTTATTCTACAGTCAGACTTGTGCTAGCGAAGAACATCTCTATAGAACGAGCATCTGTTTCTAAAGATTGGCATTCTTTGGAGCTTTTGGCATTTCCCTTGCGTGTCAGCTGTGCAGTGAAGTCACCCTCATACAAGGGACACCCAGCTATATAGGACACTTAGGGTTCCCCCTGGGTAACCCTTGTGTACAGGTTTGACTGTATCAGATACGTGCGTGTATTATCTCAACTCTGATGCTATAGTGCTACATGTTATGTATACGGTCACATGTGTACGTAGCTCGTTGTAGATACCGCGTTAAGTATCTCTTGAATGCGAGTGATCGATACCAACAGTTGACATCGCAAGCTCGTTACATGCGTTCAATAAATCTTCCTTGCAATCACACGATTGTTCGATGCATCATGTTGCTGCGACACAACCGCAGTCATCGTTGTCAGGTCATCAATGACTCATCATGTCGGTTTCAGTGTTGCATGACGCGAATCGACGTGACTATAGTCTATAGTATCGTCTAGCTATAGTACAATAGAACAACTGTATACGCTATATATATTTTGCGGTGGTTTAAATTACGCGAATTTCGCGAACGCGCGTCCCCGACCGCGAAAATAACAACACGCTGTTCTTTACTGATTCGGTAATTCACCGACCGCGAAATTAACCACTCGCGAAATTGTCCGTCAAGTCTGAATTCGCGAAAATACCTGTACGCGAAAAATATGGCGTATACCGTATATGGGCTCAGCTATATATATATAATATAAGGAGTTAATAAAGACAAACTTTATGTCTTTATTGTCTTGTTTTTTTTGTCGTTATTAACTCCTGATAATATGTATATATATAGATATTTGTATATATATAATACTCACTGTCCCGTTGTTTCGCGCCATACTACATTGTCATAGGTAGGCCTATAGCTCATTGATTTGGAACTGTCAATATCATATCACAATAATTGTGTGTGTGTGTGTGTGTGTGTGTGTGTGTGTGTGTGGTGGTGTGTGCGTGTGCGTGTGCGTGTGCGCTGTGCGTGGCGTGTGAAGTGTGCGTGTTTGGCGTGTGCGTGTGCGTGTGCGTGCTGCGTGTGCTGGTTGGTGTTTGTGTGTGTGTGTGTGTGTGTGTGTGTGTTGTGTGTGTGTGTGAGCGTGCGTGCGTGCGTGCGTGCGTGCGTGCGTGTGTGTATTTTATTATCAGACCCGACGGTATCGTTGATTATTTTAGATAACATTATACCATGAAGAAATATTTGTTACGGACACGTTATAGGCGTGATATGACAGTGGTCACTGGTACAATAGTAGTTATATAGTCGTTTTTCTTTCTCATAAGTAATTTCTATATTTGTTTTATTTGCCAACAGATCTATGTATAAATACATATTAGATGTGTTATAGACAATGTAAGACGAAATAAATGTGTTCATACATAGATCTTTGACTCGCCCGGTTTTCTCTTGCTATTCGCAGATTTTTCCCAACAACACTTGGTTCCTTCTGTTAGGGAACGCTATTACTGTTACAGAGATATTGATTGGCCGTCTGCATGTAAGCATTGGTTGAGGCATGTGCGAGCGAATCCCATGCAGAATATTTCACAAGTCCATCGAAAATATTCATAATTTCTACGCAGAATACGTGGAAATTCGCTTCGTAATGTCTACATTTCCACGCAATATATTGGAAATTCCATACAGAACATTGTATTGGGAGGAATTCCTTGATGATTGGTAAATTCCACGCAGAATAATATTGAGTTCCGTATAGCGTGGCAGCATTTGCATTGGCGATTGGGAATATCATGCAGAAGCTTGGTAGATCGATACTTAATCCATTGGTTTTCACTTTAAAAAGAGTTGTTTCTTTATACATTCATCATATTCATTCGTTGTGTGTTTTCAACGCTCGTCGGTTGGTACCTTCTTGGGTGACCTTAGCTGGTGACCTCGGTAGATAGCCGTGGTATGTTACTACAATAGATGACCTTTTGTGGTAATTAGGAATGCGCGCGTGCCGTCACGTCAAACCGTGCGGCGTTTGTGTTATCACAAGTAACATATGAGTTATTATGGCAAGTTATTATCT